TATGCACGTTTCATCTCTCAAAATGGTAAATATGAACACATAACTCCAGATCTTAAACAATTTCACTGGCTACCTATACGTCAACGTATTCACTACAAAGTTCTAATATTGACTTTCAAGTCGTTAAACGGTCTGGCAACAACTTACCTTGAGGAGCTTATGAAGAGGAGACCTATGAAAAGAACAAGGGCTGATGGCAACAATGACTTGGTGATCCCCACCATCAAGCATAAGTCCTTCGGAGGAAGATCAGTGGGCTATGGGGAACCTAAACTATGGAATACCTTACCGAAAGAACTGAAGACATGCACGAACATTAACACTTTTAAGAAATTTAGATTGAAATCTGCAATTTTTATTTCCTGGTTTTATAACCCAAACTTCATGTAGTAGTTAGAGATCGAAAACATTCATCGGCAATGAAAAAATCATAGAGAGTGCCCTTATCAAGACGGTCGCGTCAGAACATTTTATCGATACAAAATATGCAAAAGAAATGAAACAGAATTACACCGTTTAAATATGGAGAAGAAATTCTGCGAGTTGTAAAAAAAGAAAGAGGCGAAAAATAATCCGAAGAGAAATAGCGAACTATTATTATTATTACAGTTATGGTTGTTATAATTTTCATTGATATTAGTCATATCGTCATCATTAGTATCTTTATTTTTCTTACAGGGAGGGCAAAAGTTGCTTTTTTATCAAGCACCCTCTCATGTGGAAAGAGAACCTACAAACGGCTTTTGCAAAGGTGCCCTGGCAACTGAAGAAGCAAAGATGTATTGCAATATCCTCTACTGGGAGTGTCTGTCTATCTGTCCTAAGGTGGGAAACGTAAACCCTCTCGTTTATGATGAGAGTGATTGTGAAGAAGAAAGCAATGAACCAGAAGCGAGACAGAGAATTCAGCTGTTTATCATAATCGTTACGATATGATCAATTGTCCGCTTTGTAATAAGTTCAGTTAACCTATTACACCCTTACTTCTGTACGCACACTGTAAGGTGCTGACAAGGAGAATTAGTTTAACAATTAAGAGCTCTATAGCTGGTGATCATTTCCTTTGTTCTGGGGTCTTTATTGTGTGATTGAGAAATTATATAGAGATATTAGATGTCAGTCATTTTCAGGAGTCGAAAGGACTAACGGCGGTATTTAGTCGCAAATAATGTAGTAAACATTTGTAGCCAATTCCAGAGTTAATCCGTAGATGTTGAAGAAATAAAATCGACTCACCATACTTCATTTGCTATTATTTTGTTAACTTTTGCATGAGTTTGTCTGAAATTCCAAGGGATTTTTCAATAGACTGCCCCAGCAAAATGATTAGGAAATGGGTACTCTTGTTTCTAAGAATTTTTTTCTTTTGTCGCAATACACCTGAGGAAAAAAAAAATTGTAGTCAGGATCGAAGCAAAACTAGAATAAATACCCAAAAAATCAAGTTAAGGTAGACAAGGAAACATTGTTTCCCATTCTCTATCATTTAATTTCCCTGGAAATTTTAACGGGAATCTTTTATCATTGGCAATTCTACCATACACGTATTATAGGTTCAAGGCATGAGAAATAGATGAAAGACTAAGTCCAACTTCTAACCATGCTTTCTGCACCTGCTGTTTGTCTAGTGTAAGATTCCCGAAATATCTGTCAGTAGATTCAGTACCATCGATAACCCAGTACCTTTGCTAACAGTTTCGTTATGAGAAGGAAAAGAAAACAGTGGTAGACTGGGCCTCAACAATCTCCTACCAAAATTTCTCCTGATTTAACAAGAGGATTGTAATGAAAATCATTATTCGTGCGATTAAAACTCCTAAATTCAACCGACAGTAAAGGAGAAACGCCCCTTAACTTTTAACTGCCAGGCACTGTTTGTGTTTTACTTATACCCGGGTTAGGACATTGAGTTGAAGCAAAATTTGCTTAAACGGAAGTTGAATTATATCAGTCTAGACTTACTGTTGTCAGGTAGTCAATGAGTTTGGTATGATTTCAGAGATTTTGATTTAGCGGTAGTTTTAACCAAGACTTGAACTCAAAGACCAAAGTGTTTTCCAGTTTTAGCTATGGCGTTGGGTTTCCTTAATGTTTCTCTCGTTTCTAACCTCCATTAGTGGAAGTGCTCAGATTGTCTAATAAGCTCACCTTAGACCTACGGTGATGGTCTTGTTTTTGTTTTGGCAGTCAACGACTGACTGTGTGATCGGAAGCTTTAAATACGTTGTTTGTTATTTGTCACATTCTTGTGAAGGTTTTCAAGTTATTGTTCTAACCACAATGTTTTTAAAATAGTTCAAGGTCAGTTGGCCTACTGCGTGCCGACTCATGCCTATCGACAGTGAGTATATAAATTAGTGTGTTCGATACAGTTCACAGTCAGTCGATCAGTTAGAGAGAGAAGTTCGATTACCGTTTCCTAGAGCGAGCAAGATTCAATAGAAGTCAGAGTGGATGAAAAGAAGTGAGAGAAGTGAATTTGCTGCTTGCAGAATTGATTCAGAGAAAAGAAATTACAGAAGACTGAAAAAGTCTGGTCTCGAGTCATCAGTTTCGTTCGCTAAGCTTGGTACGCTCTGAAGCTAATTTCAACCCAGACACCCGCTAACAGTATGACAAGACAACCGGGTTCTCTTCTCTTCTTTTCGGAGTGATTGTGACTCATTTTCAACGAGACTCCACGAAACTGTGTCAATGTCACAAATTCCTCACGCCTGAAATTCCCGTCTGATACAAACCTAAATTTTAATAGACCGGGTTGGTATGAACCATACCTATATATGTTAATCACGAATGAAATGGAGTAATTCATATCAAATACGCAAGTCTACATAATGTATCAAAGATCATGAAATATATATCAGAATGTATGATGGAGCAGTGAGGGCTGGAGGTACATGTAACAAAGTAGTCTGAGGTCCTACAGTATTACTGGCTGGCTGATTCATTATTTTTCGCGTGGTTGATGCGTTACGGTTATCCATATCATTAACTGTGCAATTGTATTGAGTAGAGAAAAGTATTTTTGAAGCACGCATTTCCTTTAACACTTATATGGTGGTAAGCACGGTAGATTTCAGGTAAAAGATAACTAATTGGGCATCGTCCGTAGACGTACATGACAGTATTAGAAACGAGCATCAGTTCGAACCAATATTGTTAATTGATGAGGGCTGAAAGAAACAAAGATAGAACATTTCCACAAGATGTGCGGAAAATTACACCTGCAAGGATTTGGAACTGATCAAATTTTTAGTTCATTATGCAATTTTCCATCACGCTCATTTTTTAGAGTAAGGTTAAGGGCGAATAGAATATGCGCTGTGAGACATTTAGTGTTAATAAAGGAAGAGGTAATTACAATAGGATTAACAAGTAAGAATCAATTACCTTTGTTTCAGTGTGTAGAGTGTGGATTGCAAACAAGGCAACGCGATTAACTCACCAATTGAATGATGGCCGGCTTATATTCTTATTTATATACCCTTGATAATAAACGGTATTTAGCTTTTACGTCCATAATCCAAAAATTCAGTTGGAATGTAAATAACAGCCACGTTTTTGAAGCTTTTAACAGGAAAATTTTACGTAGTTGGCGGACTTCTAGAAGGATAGTCCTTTGTTTCATCTTCAGAATAATTATTTTGCGATGGAAATTCTTACTCAACCAGTTCAAGGTACTTAAGAGCTTGAAACCTATTTCCAGACTAATTAACTTTGATTTAATTCGATTTATAGACCATTTTTGAATAATCTAGACAGAAGTCCTTTGACAGATTTCCCTTGGAAAAGGTGGAATATTTCCCTTTAATATCAAAGTAACAAGTCGGAACGCGAACGTTATATTTGTATAACCGCGAAATATATTGTGTCTGAATCTCCACTATTGTGTTTGATGTCATTCAATAAACAGGCAAATTGGCGACAAACGGAAACAAAAAATCGTTAAGCATGTCAAAACGTTCGATATAATTAATCCTCACAGCATGTTCTGTACTCGATCAAATCGACTCCTCGCAACATTTCAATGGCAAGAATTCAAGACCATTCCCTCCCTCTTAGATCCCAACTTTTCCAACACGCATCCCATGAACCCCTTGCCTGAGAATTTTTGTATTAAAGCAAAAGGCGTGTACCAAGAAAATTCCCTATTCGGGAATGCATCTCATTCGTCTTAACTGCCGAACAATCGGTTTTTCTGATGGGACTGTAAACAACCGGAAACATTTTCCTACTTATGACGACTTGATCCAAGTCATCCTTTTTTGCCTTTGTTTAATTTACAAGATCACGGTTCATACCCGAGATAGCGTTGGCATAAAGTGATCACCTTAAATGTGTTTTTATGAAAACTGTGCCAAATATAAGTTTAAACGGTTTTTCTACGATAATTAAGAACAGGATAGTGATTAATCGAATCAGAATGTTTACGTCCTTTGTACCGAAATTATGTCCAGAAGACAGATATCAAACATTTGTTTACTATCAGAAGGCTCGTATCTTGCTTTTATTTTAGACGAAAAAAGGAAATACGAGAAGGTTATCGTTTGCTTTTCTCTTCATTGTGAACAACGTAGAATACAACGGATAACGTTTCATTGACCTTGGGAGCACCTGAAGACATTTTTTTGGTGTGTTTTTTTGTTTTTTTTTTGTTTTGTTTGTTTTTTTTTATATGAAGATGAAATAAGCCAAATAAGCTTCTTAAGTTGAACAATAGAAGAAAAATATTTTGAAAACTTCCAAAAAGTTGGCTGATATCTTTCAATGCAGATCGTATCATTTCTTTGTCTTAACTCATATGCACAAAGTTCTTAATTTCAATTTTTTTTGTTCTTCTAAAGGCAGATTCCTCTCTGAAATATCAATAATAGTTGTGCTTAAACCGTTAATTCCGTCATTATCTGACACATTTTCTAATGTTAAGCTGCGAATTTCTTAATAATTACTTTTTAGGATGATAAACCATTTAGAGAGGAGAATGAGAACAGTATGTGTATGTGTATGTACAAGTCCGTTACTAAGGAAATAGTACTACATATGACGTGGCAGTTTCTCAGACTCTAAATATCTATTTCTCTTTTCGGGTGCCTACGTCTTACTTACTGTTGATTTAGCACCTCTAAAGGAAAGGCAAAGAATAACACGCCTATAGGAACGACTCTGGAGAGGAACATGTCTTTTTCAAACAGAAGCGTTTCCCCTGGGCAACGATCGAACTCGCCTGTGGCGTCTAAGGGTGAAATAGAGCTTCAGGAAAACCGTCCTACCGAAGTAGAAGATAAGCTCTTCCTTACCACAAAGAAAACTAAAGCGACCATTGACGGTCAAGAGCAACTGAAAGGTATTTCAATCAGGAATATGAGCAATGGTAGTGGTTTGCTGCAAACTGATGACGAGAAGAGCGATGCCAGCCAAGGTCAGAGATTGTATCGTGTGGCTCTGCTGGCTATGTGTTTCCTCTCAGCAGTTTCTCTTGGGCTCACCTTGCTGATGTTGTTTGGTGTACTTCACGTTGGTTCACCCCAATGTACCTGCTCTGGAGAAACAGGTATTTGTTGACTCAGAAGATGTTTTATTGTAAATTTTAATTCATACCTTGAATACCTTGATTGAAAGCGATATTCAGCGATATTCTCTTCATTTACACAAAAATCACCCCCCCCTTTCCCTGGCCTCAAAATATGTGCGATGAACAGGGTTTTTCAGATTTTTTCCTTTTTCGTTTTTTTGTATTTCTTGGACTCAGATTATTGACAGCGAATAAATGTCATTAACGTATAAGATGATCAGGAAAGTCTCACCAATTAAATATAAGATCATCCTTCCCCCTTTGGGAATCATAATAGCGAAACTGCATCCAATGTTACCCGTTCAGACCGAAATATTTAATCTATCGCAAAAAAAGTTCTCTTTTTATGGCTTATCTACAGTTTTTTCCGAGACCAAAAGAGAACAGAGCACATTCAGGGCTTCTCTATTTGTTTTATAATGACGAATCCGTTAAATTCCCCAAGAATTACTTTCAATTTTCAAAACAAACTTTATTTCCAAAGCGAACAAGAGTGTCGTCTCCGTGATCGTATACTCTCATATAGCACGCTACAATAAGCCAATCAGAATCCCTGTTAGAATGGTTCAAATAATCTGATTGGCTGTACAGGACTAAAGCTATCAAAAATGTCCAACTATCAAAGTTCAAAAACCATCAAAGTTCATATTCTGTAATAGTTTTCAAACTAAAATAGTTCGGCATTTAAAAATTTTGCCTGAAGTTTTTTAGTTTCTAGAACAGAATCTGAAAGTGAAATGTTCAGTGAGATTCGGCCCAATCGTGGCTCACAAAAATACGCAAGTTATTTCGCATGACAAGTAGAAAACAAACTGATCAAGGCGAGTGTTTTATGAATGAACAACAGCCGAATTCACCGGGACATGAGGATCGCTCAGAATGACAGCGCCGTAAAACTCGGCTGCAGTGACTGATGTGGCCTTCCACTCAACGCATCGGAAAGTTTACCAGAGCAAGCTCTTATTTTTCTTCTCGAAGGGCAGTCGATTTAGTTCCTGAGGCTTGCTCCACTGCGATAACCGAAGATCGCCATGATAAGCTAGCCGCGATAGACCTCAGCATGATCGCAGTCGCTCTGACCCCGTCATGATTAGTATAAATTTTAACAGTTATGCCAGGTTATATTTTTCATCATTCGTTTTTTTTTGTTTTGTTTTTGAACATTGCATAGCAATTATTTCGAAAAAATCGTTTCCTTTCCTTTTCGCCGACCGTGTTCACAGAGTACGCGGTGATCCAAGCGTGACACTTAAAATTTTTCGTCAGATTCTACCAGAAAAACTGATTCAAAATACTATAAGGAGATTGTAAAATGACGCCGGAGGGCGAATGTATTTACCGTAAAACAATTGACTGTATTTCCAGGATGGTTCTTGAGAAAGAAGATTTTAGAAGGTTTTCAGTAATCTGGAAATTTCGTGTTACAGGAAATTGGGTCGTGGCGCGCGTTGCATTAAGGGTGAAAATGGGCCTCAAAGAAGTTAATTAGGAACGTCCAAGTTTTAATTTCTACACCCCAATGAATGAGTTCCCAGTAATCGGATCCTAGTGTTTGCACAAAGATCTTATGGCAAAAGGTTGTGTCGGACAAAAAAAAAAAACGATTTTAGAGATAGGGCATTTTCCCGCTGTTTAATCATAAATCGATTGAGGTAATGTAGATAAGAGTGAAGCGTAACTTTTTTTTTTGAATCACATGATATGTAATGAAACCTAATAAAAAATTTTTCCCAACGCATATATGTGTAAGGTTTATTTTGGAATTGGTATCGCATAATGGTCTCGAAATTTAAAAAAATTTGCTATGAATAGCCAGGAAATAAATTCACAAAACCTTCTCAATTTTACTTAATGTATTTCGTCTACTTTTGGCTTTTTTCTTAGCTTGGTAATTCCAAAGAGCCACCTAGAGGCAACACGAGATTGAAATTGTTTGCTTGAGCATAATATTATCGTGTTACGTAAAAGGATTTAATACTTAAATTGCTTATTTGTTGCGATCGACGAGAATGAATCAGCGTTTAAAATAATTTCTTAATTGAACCGTTTCTTCTGCGACGATGTGTATGTACAAATGCATTTCTGAAATTGTGCACAGTTTCTACCCGATCGAGCTCCCGTGACCTTATTGTTCCTGAAATACCTTTCGATTTTTCTCAAACAAACTATTACTTTACCGAGGATTTCCTCATGTTTCTCATTGTTTATTTTATTCCTCCGAAGAGCAACGGCTCGGTAAAACATAATGACTTCTCTCCTTTGAGGAGGTATATTTTCAGACGCCTTAATGCGTTCATTAAAAACGTAAACAGGTACAAAACAGGCTTTACCCACATAATACAACGGGATAGACTTTACAATTATTATTATTATTATTATTATTATTATTATTATCATTATTATTATTATTATTATTATTATTATCATTATCATTATTATTATTATTATCATTATTATTATTACTATTATTATTATCATTATTATTATTCTAATCATTCTTTAAATCGTCAGCCATGCATTTATGCATCCATTCATTTATCAATGTTTTTCTTTCATCGATTCATGAAGAAATATTAGAACTTAAGAAGAATCTAGAAGACTTGAAAAGGAATCTCTCGGCTCTGAGAGAATCTTCGGTAGGTAAAAAATTCTGCGTTTATATTAGGGGAAAAAATTCAACGATGTAAATCTCATCACGAGACACATCCTTTTCTGCTGGAAACAAAAACAAAACCTCAAGTTGTGGGAATTTTGATATTCTATAATCAATACAATCTGCTACAGAACATCAACCAAGATTCTTATCATGCCATTTCAGCTTAAGTGGGTTCTGCGGGCTCAAATATAAATTGCTACAGAAAGCTGCCTGGTAAATTGACTATTGATGAACGAAGGGAAAATGAGTCCTTTTTTCTGTCCTCGTCTATTCAAAATAATTTTCAGTGTTCGTTCATAGTCTTTAGTTAGATCCTTTGAGGTAAATGGGGGTCTAAGGGCAACGTTATCAGTAAAGAAACTATTTGTGTGCTTGGCATTCGAATAACGACACAGTTATAAAGTCTTTGCTACTCAAATTTTTTCTCTTTTTCATGGCAGATTAAAAAGGAGTTGTTGAGTGTCGAAGACAAAGTAGGTTCACTCTGAATATCCATGACTATTCAAAACATATATTTAAAATTATCTCGTTTTATATTTATTAACTGATTTCCTTATTGAGTTATGTGTTAATTTTAAGGATTCATCAATCTTATGGCCTTTATCTGAAACAGTTATTAAACATTAAGTAACGCAGATCCATTTCTTGAATTTCTTACATATCTTGCAGCGCGTGTACACGCCAAATTAAACTCAATTACGACGCAATCTCTTTATGTAAACTTTTTTATTCATTATTGTGACAGTTTTCCAAAGATTTAGAGAATCTGAAGAAAATCGTCACAAAGGTAAGTTTTGTTTTTCTTGACATCTGTTTTTCTTAGAGTTGTTGACGGCGATATCAGAATGCAATCATTCGCCTATTTGCTTCTAGAATCACAACCATATCATTACAGCTTTATGATTTAATAACAGTTCTTATCTCTTCAGCAGGTGGAAAACTGGAAACTGGAAAATGTGACAGTAGGTTACCCTCTAAACTTACTTACATAACAGTTCAGGAATTTCATTTACAAATGGCTCCAGCACAAGCCTACGCTACCCCTCTTCACGAGCGCTCCTCGGTATCAGTGAATTCTTTACTTCCTCTTCTCGGAAAATGTGTCCCTTTTTTCCTGCTCGTGCCTATCCAAAATTATTTTCCGTTCTTCGATTGACTCCCATATTATTCCTTGCTTTTTTCCTTTCATCACTTTCCGTCTTACATTTTAAATCAGTAATTGGTCAAGAACATATTTCTATTCGCTGTTTTATCAGGTTTTAAAGAAAATTCTGGAGAAGGAAGTTGCCGAGGTGGGTTAGTGAATTTCTGTTTCTTTGAAGTAAATGGGGGTCTTGAGGCAGCGTTATCAGTAAAGAAACTCTGTGTGTGGTTGACATTCGAATAACGACACATCCAGTTATAAGTCTGTTGTTCAAGAGTTTTTTTTTCTTTTTCATGGCAGATTAAAATGGAGTTGTTGAATGTTGAAAACAAAGTAAGTTTACTCTGATCATCCATGAAAATTCAAAAATATATTTTTGAATTATATTCTTTGATATTTCTTAATTGATTTCCTTGTTGAGTTCCATATTTATTTCGATAATTCATAGATATTGCGGCCGTTATTTGCATCAGTTATTAAAAATTTAGTAGATTTAGACATTCAGTTTAATTATGTATTTCTAACTTTTTATACTCACTACAAATGTCCGTTTCTCATGTGAAAGGTTACAAATCAACAGACAGACATTTCTTGAATTTCTTACGCTTCTTGTGGTACGTGTACACGCCAAATCAAACTCACTTGAATCAAATAGTGCATTCTTATTTCGACAAAATCAAATAGTGTAATCTTACGACAACAAAATCTCTTTTCGTGAACTTTTTTATTCATTATTGTGGCAGGTTTCAAAAGGTTTAGAGAATCTGGAGAAAAACGTTACAAAGGTAATTTTTTCCTCTTCCTCGTCTGTATATTCGTCTTCTTGCATTACTGTTTTTTAGAGCTGGGGACGGCGATATCAGAATGCAACTATTCGTGTGTTTGGTTCTAGAATTACGACCCTATCATAACAGCTTTATGGTTTAATAACAGTTGTTATCTCTTTGGCAGGTGGAAAAGAAGCTGGAAAATGTGACAGTAAGTTAGATTCTGGACATAAATACACGAATGATTCCAGCACAAACCTCCCACCACTCCTCCTCTCGAGTGCTCCTCGGTATCAATGAAATATTTACTTCCTCTTCTCGGAAAATTTATTTTTTTGCCCAAAAAAGTATCGTTCTTCATGTCAAAACAGGATATCTTGTTTCTCTTAGATCACATGGCCACTGAGATTCAACAATTCTAAGAGTGATATTAGACTTGCCGAACCAGCCGGACCTGCCGGACCTGCCGGACCTGCCGGACCTCCAGGATATAATGGTACTCAGGGCCTTGCAGGACCGCCTGGATTACCTGGTCTACAGGGCCCTCGTGGACCAACTGGGTACAATGGCACCCGCGGCCCACCTGGACCTGGGGCCAGTTCCTGTATTTACAATACTAACACCAGCGCTGGAACGCCAGTAGGCGTGGCCGCTAGGCAAGAAGTGCAGGTGATAGAGTTAAACGTAAGTTACCGGATTAGCTCTGTGATGGGTACAGAAGAATTTGTCCTTGTCTAGAATATGACGTTTTCTCGAACATTCCGGAATCCTACAACACAACTATTCTTGTAGAGTTTCTTCATAATCACATACTATGACTACATCACCGTGACTAGACTGACCAGGCTTTCTGGGAAAATTCCAGAAACCAATATTTTACAGTCACTTCTTGTACCACCAAATTCAAAGATATTTAAGTTGTCATTGCTCTCTTTTGTCAATTTCGAAATCGTTTCAGCGTTAAGTCTCGCGAGGCATAAAATTTGAACGCCATAGATTGTAAGGGAGAAGGGACCATGAAGAAATAACCTCTTTAGCGAACTTTTGTCGTCGGCTTTCTCAAAACATAAAATTTATGTTGTGAGAGAGAAAATGTACATTGATCTATTCACAAACAGGAAAGAAATGCTTTAGTCGTCTGCGTTTCCAACTCTTGACGTCATTGATCATTATCGTCATCATTATTTTCTTTTTTTGACAGAACACGACGTTTATTGGTGTAAACTGTGGTACAAATGACGCAAAAGTTGCTATTTTATCAAGCACCATCTCAGGTGGAAAGAGAACCTACAAGTGCTCTTGCAAATTTGGCCTAGCAACTGGAGAATCAACTATGTTTTGCTATATCCACTACTGGGAGTGTCAGTCCTAAATAGGAAAACGTTTAGTCATTTATTTAACATGGCCATTTGTAGAGACAATAATAGAGTGTTTTACCAGAAACGAGATGAAGAACAATTTAGGTAGTTTAACATGAGTGCTGTAATATTAAAAACTACCCTTTTTTTGTCGTTAGTAAGTTACTTCTTTCCAAATGTGCCCCTTAAGAGTAAAAGGCAACTAAGGATTGCATCAGATCATATTGTTACGGATATTGATCAGGGCTTATTTCAGACTTAGCCTTTCGGCATTAGGGAAGGTAACAGAGTTAAAAGTGCAGTCATTTTCTTTCATTTAACGAACACATATTCAAGAACTTTTCATAAGTTTTATTGGAAACCGACATTTTACAAGACGAGCCAATGAATTTTTCACGAACAGTAAAAATAATTTAATTTTGATAGAAGTTTTTGCGACGTGAACCGCTTAACCGTGATTTTATATATTCACGCCAGTCCTCCTCTCTAAGGTTGATTCCAAGAGAGTGTGTGTTCTGTTTATCTGTAACTGAAAGAAATAAATTTTGTACTGAAATGAAGAAATAGTATTTTAATCGTCATATTACAGGATCAAAGGTAAACAGCAACTTTTGCCTCTAGATTTGGCTGGTTGCATTTGCCGCATACAAAAATCCCGCAACATGCGTAAGCAGTTTCAGTACTTACCGTATTCTGATATGTTTTCGTCACGGTTTCATCATGAGAAGAAGAAAACCGTTCAAAATTGAGCCCTAACAATCATCTATCTGAGCGTGTTTTGATGAAAACAAACCGACCGATGCATACTCACCGGAAAGCTGGTCGGGCCCAGTGATTTACCAGAGAGAGTTTTGAAACGGGTCTCCCAGTCTTCCGCCTGATATCGTAGGTATCAAACGAAAACTATATTCCAGCGAATGATCAGTATTCTTGGCCTAAACGGTTGCTGGCCCATCACGATCAAATATCTAGTTTTCATGGGTGTGGCTCGATTGACCAACGTGAATGAATGGGCAACAGTACTTACATCACTTGATGTAATTGCTCTTGCACTCGGGAAGCAATCGGATAAAAGGCATTAGAATCACTGCATTAATGTTAGTGACCAGTTTTGGGAGAGAAAACCCGACTGTTTGACCATATAGGGTATAGGTGATACAGTCCCGCCGGAAAAACCAAAAGTTCGTAAGTCCCGAGATAGAGAATAAGCATTAGTTTGCTTATTTATGAAACAAAATATATTTAATTTTGTATACTGATGATATTGAAAACCAACACAACTTTTACAGTGTTATAAATCAGACATTAATTTACCGTTCAAGATAATCAACTCTTCTGATAACGTTCCGACACGCTGGCAGACCGGAAAGAGCCACTTATTGAAAAGGTGTATGAACTGACTGTTACCAAGTGGAATCTGGGTGCGACAAAAAAAGAATGAGTACAATGGTCTTTCTCGATAATTTGCATCTGTGCGCACGAAATCTTGTGCGCGGAATGTAATTATTAATAATTCGTTTTGAAAGAGGGAGGTAATTGATTTAAATTTTAAGAGAAGTGATTTTAAAGAAACAGATATCATTGATGATATCTATGTACGATGCGAAATGTCGGGAGGCAACTGCTCTAATGGCCATTAGCCCCGTTGGCAAATGATATAGGGTGCTAATTTGATGACCTTAAATCAAACGGTGTAATATTCAAGGCTTGTGCGGAACGTCATTGAGACAATTGTTGTGTCTGTGCAAGTAACCTCTGCAAGGCACAAAGGTTCTGTTATTAAACATAGCGAAGTTTTGTTGCTTTTATTTACTTCCCTCTGCGACAGACCACGAAGGCTGGTGCCAATTTTTCAAGCAATGTGATGAAAAACTAAAACCACTCACGTATTTTCTTGTATCTTTGGCAGTTTGCTGGTTTTCATTCTGAGTTGCTTTCCTTTTAGTGATATTTTCTCCTCCTTGTGATTTGCATTTATGTTGCTTTTTTACTGTGGTTTTACAAAACCAAACTAAAAACGCTCTAATTGATCTATTCTGTAATTCGGCCAGGGAATCAAGACGCAAGCAGCGAGTTTATAATTTAATAACGATCGACGAGTAAAGGAATATTACAAGTAAGGGTGACTTATTTAGAAAAGTTTGCAACTTTTTAAGCCTTAAGTTGGAAAACAAAAACCATCCATTTGTCGGTTCCAACGAACAATTTTGGTGGAAAAATCAGTTACCACCTCTTTAGTTGTACTTTGTACGTATTCTAATCACAACGAAACGATCGGTGTCGCGATTGCATGACTTGATTGCATGACCAGGATATAAACAGAAGGTTAGTCCACATGTTTCCAACTCTGGAAGAGAGAGAGAGCGCGTTACCAGAGAGGTAAGGGAAAGGAGCTGGAAAAGACCAGCATATTTAGAGTACATTATAACTACTTATGTCCGAAAGTCGTCTGTTCTTGAAGTTTGTATTTTAAAAAAGAAAAACATAGATAACCCGAAGTCCCGCGGTCATGATTCATTATTTATTGTGCCGTTCGAACACGTTAATACGAACATTTTTAATCAATATTTACAGAGACAGAGCTAAAATGAAAAACTACCAATCAACTACCAATCAGTTGTCTTTGCCCTGCACCCGGACATTCTTGGAAGCCTCCGGAACGGCCTCGATTATTTTAGCCTATAAAGGAGACTAAATTATTTCATGTATCTATCGGCCAATTCCCAAAATCATGACTGTTCTTATATTTTCGTGTCTCCGAGAGGTCAATGATATCTGTTACAGAGGGTTGTGGACAAGCTTTGAGTCTATATTATGTTTCAATACTACGTGCGAAGGTACCTGAAATCTCTCTATAATTCGAAAAACACACAGCATCGCTAACTAGCTTCTGAAAATGAATAGATCGCCTCGTGGAAGAGAAAATTTTTATCTCGAAATGGAATCAGCTAGAAACGATACTGAAGCAGAAATGTACCATGACGTAGTTGGCGCGATTTCATCAAAGCCAAAGAGCTCTAGGAAAATTCTGTTGGGGGGAGATGAAAGGCAAACAGGAACTACAGAGAGTGCCATTCAAGTTCTAAATTATGCCCTGCATTCACAAGCTGCTGTGGTGCGTCGTCTTCTGTGCATTTCGGTCGCTGTTGTTACTGTTGCTTTCCTGACAGCGGCCGCCACTTTGGTATTAGCTTTATTCTTGATGTTACATGGAACAAACAACATGGCGGTGTCATCAAACAATGACGACCCTTTGCAAGGTGAGCAGACTACCAGGAGAATTTTTTTTTCAATGTACAGATTACTGCATGAAAATTAAGTTGTGCGCGTAAAGAGCAAACCAATTTTAAGCTGAAGAAGGGAGTAATAAGGTTTCCTCTCCTAAACGATTATACTTGTGAATTATTCTTAAAAATTATGCTTGAATTTAATGATCACTGGGAGACTGAGTTGATTCCGAGAGAAAATGACGATTTAAACAGCTGAGTTTATGAGTATTTTCATTTTCAAATGGTGTTTAAAAGAAGGAAATTACAATGAATGTTTATTTCAGATTCGTGTAAAAGGTTTGAAACATAAGGTATTTGTCTTTCGTTTTCATAAAACATAATAGCGATTGGACTCAAAGTATATCGGCCCTGGCATGTCATGCAAATAGAAACACGAGACTTCCGTACAAAAGCTTCTTAAGCCAACAACTCACTCAAAAGCCGACCCAGAAAAATGCATGAAAGTAATGATTATAAACTTCTTGAAAGTCCTTCCATCTGCTATTGAGGAGAAAGAGACTACTAGAGTATTTTCAAAGAAAACTGTGGAATTTTGTATCGGGAGGTTTTTGGGCCCACAATATTAGAAATTATTGATCAATGATACGCACGGCCATAAATTGTTTTCCCCAACTTTTCGGGAAATAAAGAGACCGCGACACTTAGTAAGGGAAGGGTGACCCTTGACGGAATTTTATTTTCCCGATTAGTGACAAGCAGTTTACTGGGGGCATGTCACACGTGAACTTGGTTATGCGGATTCCGCCCTACGAATAACTAAAAAACTCAGTAGTGAGCTCGGCCAACATCAGGTCAGCGCCGATGATGAAGTTTCACCTGGATAAATAGAACGAGAAGAATGCCAAATTTTGAAACCGAAATTAATTATAGAAAGAAGTTGTTGGGCTTATCACGAATGAGCTGCAATATACAGGACTTGTGTCACATTTCAATCTACTCAACATTAAGTCTCTGTGGCTCTGCGGAAGAGTTCTTAAGGTCAGAGGATTGAATCCTAGTGGAGGACCCACACTTTTTTCTTTGTCCCACGCTCTTGACAAGACAAATACAACAACAACAACTGTAACATCGTTTATTAGAGAAAATGTCATTTAGCAACTCGGGACTCATCATTCATGATCCAGTCAACGTTATAAGTAACCTGCATTCTTTTTAGAGTCGAAGCTATCACGGTCGAAATTTGAGGCTGACCTAAAGGCAGTGAAGCAGAACATCTCCACAATTCAGTCACGCGCTGCTGATAAAGCGGTGGGTAGCTATCACAGCCAAGGCTTATCAATCTGGCTTATATTTTTATGTAATGTTATATTCGTAGGAGACGTGGTTCATCACGTGACTAAGTATAAAAAGTCAGTGAATTCCAATATTATTCAGCGAAAGAATGTTTACGGATTTATCCGTTGTCAACCATTGAGAACTGATTTATTTGTTTCAGCCAGAAGGATAATCTTGCTTACGAGGGTGATTTTAAAGCATGTTGCATCGAGAATATTGGTAAAAGGAAGAAGCTAAAACGTTAGCACCTTTAAGTACTTTTTAATCTTCACCCATTTTTGGTTTGATTAAGAACGCCTCTTTTATTTCAGTTTGCCGGGGAACTCGAGAAACTGAAAGCAAAGGTGAGTGTTGTTTGTTTACTTTTCCTCCCCAACAGTGTTTCAAAGTTTCGATAAATAAAGAAGTGTACCTAGTAGGACAGTTACTTCAAAGCAAAATCTCGCTAAATATGACATCATGCATGTATGTTCTATAACGAAAGCCTATTTGTAGTTCCCTACCCAGACTTCCCTTGGGCTTGGGCTCAAATCACCTGAGTTTGTTTGTTGCTTTTCCTTTTTTTTTTTTCTTTGTGTTTTTTGGTTTTGTTGCTGTATTTTTGCAGATCATAATTTTTTCAAGTTGTTAATTATATTTTTAATCATATTATATTTTTGTATTTTTGCCATACTTAACTTGTTTCAGCGTCGCTGAAATTAAACTTAAGTTTCCCAGTTCATTGCTAGTCTCTGCCATTTTTATATCGGTATTTCATGTCGTAAACAACATCGCCTAATTATTTGCGTACCTTTTCTTATTCTCTCGTCACACCCATAGTCTTTTTTTTTCTTTTTTTTCCTTTTTGATACCACGATAGTTTTATTCAATTTTAATCTGACTACCAAAGCACATTTTCCCGTTATAAACCCACGCAGGATGTTGGGAGAAAACGAGAAAAGCTTCAAATTATTGAAATTCGGTCCCTTTATAAACGCGTTTTAAAAAGGTACCAAATTTCATTTTGTTTCATGGCTGTCAGAAAAGAAAACTTTTGTACCTTTATCAGCCGTTTAGCGAGAGTTGTTCGCGCTATTTCACATAAATCGCGAGACAAAGGCGATCTTTCAGCTCTATTGTATTTGGCAATTTCATCAATCATCACGGAAAGATAAAAACATAGGTCTGGAGAGCGGTTTGACCAATCACATAATACGAACTATGCTCAGCAATGTTCGGAATAATTATATAGCCGGTGCTAAATAGAGAATCTTGAATTTTGAATCCAAAAGTATCATTAAATGATTTTTGTCACAAGATTTGAATAATATTATAATGTCATGTCATGATATCTAAATGTTACAGGTAATTTAGAAAAGAAAAAATTGTGCCGATCCAGAAATTAAAACATGTTTGGCATTTTAAAATATTCTTATTTATACAAAACGGAGTATTAACTTTACCTATAGGTTATATGATACATACACTTAAAATTATATTCAAAACATTTCATATCTGCTCGGTAGTAAATATCATTATCATCATGAGCGTCAATATTATAATAATTTCTATCACAATTACAACAATCACAATTATAATTGAAGGAGCTAAATTATTGTTACAAAGCCTTTCCGTACAATTATATATTTACAACTACTTCATCCTTTTTTTCGCCACTTGACCATGCTCACAGAAAAAATAACGTAAGATTTATTGCATTATTCAATTGCAGATTAGTGAGATCGGAGAGAAGGTTACAAATTTGGACAAGGGTAACATCTCAGATAATGTCCAGGTACATTACGAGTATCAATAATAGGAGAAAAGAGGCAATTTTTCGCACCAAGAAGATCTATTGCGCGTACACAATACATTCTTGATTTGTAAAAGAAAACCAAGCAATGTCGCACTGTAGCAATTTACCTCAACAATGCTGTTTCTTCAGTTTAATATTTTGTCTTTCATTGTTTTCTCTTTTTCTGCCCATAGAAACAAGATGAGGCAAAGCTCGACTTGGAGATTGTAAAATCAGTGAATGCCACTGTAACTGGAAAGCTGAGAGACGTTCAGCAAGACATAACCAGGCTAGAGCAAATGGTAAGTTGATTGACAATCGGAGAAAATAATGGGTCCTATTTTCTCTTGGTAACGGCCAATTCTTTATTGGGGTACCACAATAGAAGTTGATCATCTAGGTGTAAATTTACAGTATAACTTGTCATGCTGGTAACTTTAATTATCCATAGGTCATTTCCGCGCAGCCTCAGCAAAAGTCCTACAACGCTAGAAATAACAATAAGACTATTGTGTCATGTTTAAGGCGAGAAGTTAGTTCAAGACAATAGAACATTTCTCGATACGACGTTGTTTGCAATACGTACACAAACACTGACTACCACTGGCTGACTTATAGTATTGATATAAAGACATTTTGAAGCAGCTTTGCAAAATGTCATGAAAATTATCATAAAAAAGAGATTTGTATGTATTGAATTCCCACAAGAGATGCTCATATAGAAAATAAACATTGCACAATGTCCCTTTGCTTCAGGTAATAAAAATAAGCAAAGATCCGGGACCGAGGGGACCACGTGGATTCAATGGTACAAACGGTCTTCCTGGACGACCCGGATATAGCAATTGGACACTCTGTTCTTACAACCACCAAGCCAGTGCTGGTGTATCTCCATCAGTCTATGCAAATCAAGAGGTGCAAATAACTGAACCAAATGTAAGTCACACTCTTTCAACCATAAACCACCTTGGGCTTAGAGAAAAGTGGCCTGTGTAGAGTGGTAGAGAAGTAGTGGTACCATAAAACGCCCACTTTCCGCAAGTCAAAAAATTAAAAAAATTTTTTAAATGTTTTGAAATATATAAAAGAATAGTTTCCTATACCAACATTAGCGAAACATAGAATTAGACAAGAAACATTTTGTTTTCTCTGCAGTGAAATGAAAGTGTGATAACTTTTTTTCTTTTTTTTTTTTTTCGTAATTGTAACTTTTTGAGATTTATTCGTTTCAACAGCGATGTATTTGCAGTTACAATCCATCTAATATTTTAGCTCATGCGCGAGTTTGGTCTTAGGGCATCACGTGATCGAATATGTCCCAGAGAATAACTGGAGAATTTCCAAGGATGTACTCCTAGTGATATTCTTCGATTTTGAAACATGGCGTCTAATACGAAAACACCGCGCGTTTAAAATTTAACACTAGATGAAAGAGCATTTAGCACTGTTACAGAAGAAGGGATACACTTGTTTGTTCATCGAGTCGTACCTGAGAACACTGAAAGTAAACTTCCCACACTGTTCATAAACATTTTTCCTACGCGTTGAGACAAATATTTGAAAGATAATAAACGCAATAGCCTCCAGCAAAAATGTGTGCGTTTATTTCTCCTTCGGCATTTCCTGTTGAGCTTTGCTCTAAGAATACTGTTCGCATCTCAGAACAGGCATAATGTCCGTGGAATAATATCCACGTGCTTCATTTTGTGTCGAATGAAAACGACTGACTACTCTAATATTGCTAGAATTACTAAGAGTTCTCTGAGTTCTTCGGTTTCGGATTTTTCAATTGAAGTATATAACCAGACACATCTACATCTTTCCAGGTGTGCGTTGAAGCAAAATCGAGGAAATCCTTAACCTTAACCTTAACCCTTACCCTTATGCAGTTTCAGCTTTTAATTCAAATGAAATTTGCTTCGAGAAAGGCATGAGGGACACATTTAAAATTCTGTGAAAACTTCATCCCTTCACAAAATAAGTGTTTTTTTCCGTGTCTTAAAACTACTTTTAAAAGCCGCCATTTGAAAAGGTTACGGGCTAAGTTAGAACTAAAATCTGTACGAAAAAGTTTGACGAAACTAAAGCGTTAAAGGATTTTTTTCTCCTTTTCTTGCAGGGTAAAAAGTTTTTGGGTGTTACCTGTGACACCAATGACGCAAAATTTGTGCAGATGACGAGCACTACCTCTAAATACAGTATAAATTACAAATGCACATGCACTGAAACTTTACGGAGTGGGTTCTCAAAAATGTACTGCTACCTACACTACTGGGAATGCCCAACTTAAATAAGACAGGGGTAAATGTGCCATGAATATTCGCTTCTAATCGTAGTTAGTTAAAAGAAGGGGTAAGTCTATCATTTTACGTCAACACAGCCATGTCCTTTTAAGCTTTGCGATGGAAGATTAACTCACTTGATTCAATATTACGACATTGTCAATCATTTAAGCCAAAGCTGATCTGGTGTTTGATTGGCACGATACTTTCAGTATGCATGCGATGCGCAGAAAGTCAAAACCCTCTTGCGGCGCTGAGCTTTTTGAAGAACATAGTCGTTCAATCTTTTTTCTACCAAAGAGATCCAGGTGATAATTATAAGCAAGGAGAAATATTCAATTGGAAAATCGCCGCATGGAATGAGGTTTGTTGAAATAGACGCCAGCGGTGTAAATCTATTTTCGCAGTTCGCTTAGCTGATGCAATCCTCCCTAAAAATAACTGATTTTACGAGTAAATGTAAAATGACATGAAATAAAACACATTGTATGAGGAAAAATCTTGGGTCAACCATGTTTTTGCTGTTAGGTGAAATGCTATCTCATCTCAGTCTCTGAAAGATGTTTCCTCGAGGAAATTCCAAAACAGTGTGCTTCTCTGCATGGTGCTATATGAGAATTATAATTCAAATAAAGCACGTAAAAGGTTGACACGTTTAGGTCAGAAAGAGAAGAAAAAAAGAAGTTTCATCATTTTACCTAAGGTTTTACGGACGGAATCATGTCATAATGGAATGCTGTATTGCTGCAATAGAAAATGTAAGCATCTATCAGCCGAAAAATGTCGCGGAAACCACAGTAAACTATAAAAAATAATTTACGATTAAAGATATGCCGTAACGAAACTTTCTCAAATGAAGAAGACCGAGAATGTTTGTAAGCAAAGGGACAGAGAATTGCGACTAAAGGGAAGTCATCGAAGAAAGCAATGATATCAGATGCAATTATTGCATGTCTACGATTGCTATTGGGGAACTCATTGAACTCTAATTAATATACTGATGAGCGACAAGAAAACTCATGATTTCGTGATGGCGGAATTCCTTTAAACTGATTTCTTTCACTGTAAAGCTTGCTTAGGGTCAATAGTATTAGCCGTCGGGATGATTTCCTCGTTACAGGGATACATTATCGGGCATTGATATGACATAGCGCGGAAATGGCTCGGTGATCACAATTTTCTACTGTCGGGACGCTGTTATAAAAACAAATTGCAAAATTTATGATTTTTTTTTAAGAATTTTAAGAAGTTTGTTCTATGAAATTACTTATCCAACGATTAAATAATTTTTACTGATCTAGTAACGAGTATCCCATGCGTTAGGCATGCATAGGCAAACCGATAGCCTATGTGCAGCCGACTGCGAGTAAAGAGAACTATCGAAAGGATAAGATTCCAAGAAGTTATTAAAAAAAAACCCTTAACAATGCTTGGCAATGAATGCTGATAACAGAAAATAGTTGAGCACACACCTAGCCACGCCATGGAAAATATACCTTTCTGAAAATTTGCTTAATGTTCCTTGTGTAAGGACTTAAGTAGCCGGGACGAAAACGCCAAGGAAGAAGTCGATTAAGAAGTAAATTTATATTTTTAATTAGAGTTTACAATTGGACGAACGTGCGTTTATCGCAACAAACTGCGCTGCGCCTCAACTTTAATAAAACGTATATGATCAACAATGAGCCGAGTTCTAACTGGAATCTTAAATAAATTTGCCGTCGAGATTTCCGTTCTCAAACCACGCAAATTATGGAGATTTTACGTTGTTGTTTGCCCAGGACAACTAAGAAAAGTACAAAGGTCTAAAACGCTCGTGCTGAGCTATTGTTGCACCTAGTAGATCTCCTTTACTTTTTTGTCACGTCCTCGTTGCCTTCACCGTTGTGGTTTGCTAAAGGTACCTATAAGTGAACGAAAACTGAAGCTGCCATAGATCTGAATGAGATTATGGAAAATCCATCTCTCAATATCATTTGGATTAGTCGAGAACGTTATTTGAGATGTGGTGTGCTATTTTAGGGCCGGATGGATTGGAATGCCAATGTGGTTTACACCCCTTCCTACCCTTATTTGTAACATAAACAAAATATGGTGAGATAATAATTACACAGCAATCTTCCTAAGTGATTTTAATGCAAACAGGAACCTATGTGGTTTGTAACATCAGGATGTGTGGAATAACAAGGTAGTTACATCTTTGAAGAACTTGAATGTAACTCACAGGAAATTATATTTTTTACAAGAACAAGTGCGTGCATTGTGCCCAAACCAGAAGCGTGTTTCTCAGTGGATGAAAACAGGACGTTGAGGATCATGACACTGGTATGAGGAATTCTTGCAAGTATGCGAAGTACAGGAAGCTATTAGGAACTTAGAAACACGATTGACATGTTTTACCGGGTACTTTGTGCATTATCATCATGATATTGCACTTTTATTTGTAGTTCTGCACGTGCCCAGTTCTCAGATGATTGAATTAAATAAATAAACGAATTCATATTTTAGCGCGTGATTAAGGAAAACAGCTACACCAGATAAACACATACAACACAATACAGCTTCAAAATGTTTTGGTTTGATGCCAAAAAGTGTTGTTGCCATCTTTAACGCTTCAGAATTATTTCGAAATAAAAATGAAAATATGGCATGGGCGAAAAATGCCTTTCTCAATTAAGAATAAGTGCGCTTTGGAGAAAGGCAAAAAAGAAGAGGGAATTCAAATACAAGACTTCCTGCTACTTGTTATAAGTGCTAAAGGTTCAATTGATTTCCGCTTGAGTTCTAGCTTGAAATTCCCCACGTTATAATGTATTCAGAAGGATATGGAAAGCTAAAGTTAAATATTGGGTAAAACTTTAGAAGGAATCGTATTATAATAAAGAAGAAGTTAGGATTCATGTGATGATTTCGTAGGTCAACCTAACGGATAATGTCTAAATTTAACAGAACCACAAAATAAACAAACAATTGTGGAAGGATACAGAAGCGCGGCGGAAAACACGTGCAGCCGTTTCCCTCTTCGAACTAGCGTGTGATATTTAAATAAACCCTCCGCAGAGTTAAGGATCAAAACATTCTTTCTTGTATTCGTTTAGAGACTCACCAAAAAGTAATCTCACGTCTATTTTCTTCACAACAAAACAAGCCTTGCACAGGATTTGCGTCGAGTGGGTCAACATGCGAATCAAAACAAACATGAACTGAATGCATTTTTTTGCTGTATTGAATATAAAGTGGCGTGTCATTTTTTATTGTGATTTGATAGTGAGTAAAACTGTTACACGTAGGCCTCGAGTAGGTCTGTATTTCTCAACTATAGGCCAACGGTAAGTTCCTGAAAATTAACTCACCGATACCCATGGAAAGACGGAATCGGTCAGATCATGAACCAACCGTAATCGTTTTTTCACCTGAAAGCTCTTTTAATCGAACTGTAAACGATAGTTATCTGCTCCTAGCGTTAACTTCTAAGAAACCGCAGGCCGAGGAAATAAGACCTCACGCATCGGACACGTTCTGTCGTCACGATATTGCCGGCGGGAGCCACAAGATCAATAAGTCTTCGTGAGAAATTGAATTTTTAATTTGAGACAGAGACAAATCAGGCACGATAGAAATTGGATTTTCATTGTATTCTCCTGTCCATTTTTTGCCCTATGTTCAAGATGCCGGGTCAGTTAAAGTCTGTTATCTCACGATTTTTATTTCAAATATTTTTTGGGTATATTACATTTCAAGCCAACAAATAACTCTATTCACCGGTATTTTATGAAAGCATATGCATGGCTAGTCTGAGAAGTGGCAACATTGGAATCTCGCCTTTAATTTTGTACCAAACATTATATTTTTTCAGCGCGAAGGCTTCTCATCGTTTAATCCTTTAATGATATTTTGTTAATCCAATATAACTTTTTTTTATTCGTCTTGCGTGTTGGAACACAGTAACCTCAACCTCACTCACTCCTACGGTAGACCTTAGAACCTGAATGTACTACACTCGACCTAGCAATGAAATAACTTAAAACAGGCAAAACAAAAACACACTATTGCAGACAAGTGACACTGGAGAGAGTGAGAAAGAAGTGTCCGTAGGAAGAGGGGGGCCGAAAAGTCCGTGACCCACACTTTTTTTTTGGTAAAAACGAAGAAGCGGACAAATGAGCTGGCACCATTTGCACGGTTCCTTGTGTTAGATGAAATTTAATCCTTTTTTAGTCAGCATTCTATCCACTGCGATTCTTCGACCCAAATAAACCAAAAAGAAATATGCGGGACGCGTCGCGTGAGATTTACGTTTGGTGATAAACTAGGTTGTAAAGCAAGACGAGGGATTTGACTATTATCAGTTCGTTTAGAGGTGTTAAAGACTTTTGGCTTATCAGAGCTTTCAGATGCTAGTAATAACATACTGATAACTGGGATGGAGTACATAAAACATGATTGGTTCCAACCGACAAGTTCTCTTTATACCTACCCCGAAAACTTAAACAGATGTAAAGCGGCTTTTGCCGCTGTGCAGGGGCTGGTTTATCAACTGCTGTGAGATAAACTGAAAAGGTATTCTCTTGCATATTTTTATTCTCGAGACCGCTGCAGTCACCAGCTTTCTATGAATTAGAGTAGATTGAATCATTGCATAGAAATTATATACGACGCTTAGCGAAGTTATACAATACACACGAAACTAATGAAATGAAGATGACATTCTTGTCAAAGATCTAACTGGTCCGACCCTTGAATAAAATAAAACATTGAAAAATTGCGTATTGTATTATTGTCGTTGTTGCTATCTACTTTTATCATATTTCTGAACATTATTTCGTTTTTTTTTTTGTCTTTTTTTTTCATTCGCGGCTGATACTTACTTTCTAAAAACAAAAACAAAAACGAAAAAAGCAAGAAGAGGAGGACAAAGAAAAAGAAAGAAATTGAGTGCATAGTCAAGAGTCCAAGGTCCAGGGTGCAGCGTCCGGTTAAAGTGGTGGACTATGCCTCGAACATGAGATAATCAGCAGGATAAATTGTAACATGAAGCTTTTCTTTTTAAAACACTGCATGCAATAGAAGGGTACAGTAATGTAAAAACACTGAGCAAAATCCAAACTGTTATGCGTGAATTTGAACTGGTTTAACATCTTGAAAAGGAAGTCGCAGAGGGCACAGACCATATTAGATTAGACACTATTATGTAAAATAGGAAATTCTCCACTAAGATTACCGTGAAGCATAGAGGATCGTACGGATAGTCTTCAACATGCTTTGCACGAAAAACATTTCTATACTAATCATCTTCCATTTGATTCCATTTCGTGTGACTCGAATCGTTGGAAACTGTGAAATATTGGCTCTCTGTGTCAGATTATATTCTGCTACTTAAAAAGATAAGAGCTCCAACCGAAAAAAGAGACACTAAATATTGCAGGAATCGGTAAAGCACTAATCAATACTCTCAGAAAATGTTTATGCTACGCGTTTGATTATATTTCTATTTTTTCTTTGAATTTAATTCAAATTAAAACCATATCCGTTTGTACAGATATTCCATTAATGTTTTTCGCCCTGTCAGAGATCCTCAGACAAATCAAATGAGTAATCTGTCAACAGTGACAAGGAAATGGACTTTTGATTACCGGATGTGGACACTTTCGTGGAATGGGATCAGATCCAACGACAAATAGTCAGAATACGTTCAAAGTTCCGAAAGTGTCGTACTTGAAAAGTCAGGTTTGAAAAAAAAATAAACGCTCTTTTAGGACGCTAACACGCTCACCCGTGACCTACCAGGATTTGTGCTCCATTTATCGGGATATCAGCTTCTATGTCAAGTGTTTTGAAATTCTCATTGATCGTCACCAAAGGGCTTAGTCTTTATCGTATTAAGTTAGCCTCAAATTTTGCAAGCAGAGGTTCACCAAAGGGCCATCCGAAGGTTCTGCCCAGCACACTTTTTAATCCAACGGCATTCAGGTCTATTGAACCCACAATGTCTATATGCGGATTCGCTCACGCAAACACTTCACTGAACAATCGATTGATCCGCACCATTTGTTGTATTTATCCTAAAACAATTAACTCTTCAACTCCCAGGAGTGACCAAGACAGAATTTCTCCTTACAATATCAATACAATGTCAAGAAGACGAGTGATAAGAATAAAAGAAAACATCAGTTGGGCAAGTATTAGTTGATCTAATACCAAACTCTCCGGGAATCTGGGCGGATTAGCAAAGAAAAGAGGTAAGAAACAAGGGTTAGTGTTAACGGTAAAGAGGAGTTATTGGAATTCGATGGAGGTCCAACTAAATTGTTGTTTAAAATTGTCGTTGATTCAGTCGTTGCTTTACTCCGATGTAACCACATCATACAAACATGACTTCATTCAAAATTGATAGAAAGCATAAAATTCTGGGAAAAAGAAAAAAAAAGTACCACAGCGTGACTCGAAAACACGATTACATGTTGTAAATGACAAAACATATCTCAGAGTGACTGCTCCTCCAAGCCGATAAGGGATGGTAAATCTTCCTTTTATCGATGAATTAAACATTAGCAGAAGTGTTTAGATAAAAATAAAAAAACCAGCCGAAGGAAGGCTCGTGGGAAAGATGTACGTCATGTGACTGAGGAATTCAACTTTGAAGCTTCAAATAACGAGACTCCACCATAAGCTTTGAAATCCCTAGAACTAGAGGAAATGACCAATTCTTTGTCATCCACGGTATACCGCGGGCCCCTTCAACTAGGGATTTTAACACTGACCTCTCAAGGACTTTTATGATTATCGATAACTAGAAATGCACGCAAAATAATTTTCCTGCCAAGTGATTTAAAAGTGCCAGTTAAACCTGTTGGAGAGGAAAAGCCACTCATGCTTTGTTTACATTCTGTCATTCGGCACACACCTAATTGATTGACCTACAGGGCGGGAATGTAGTGTCTAACTACGCCATAGTCGCGCGATCTCTTTTTCCAGATTAGTAACACAGTCGAGCAAGTAACAGTCGCGATTTTGATGAGCTAATATGAATAAAGAAAGAGCTGAAAATGATTACGGGTCTCATACGGCCCTCGCTCCCTCTAAAGAGAATTATTACTCGACAATCAAACAAGATTTTCTGAATATTACAGCCCTGTCGATGAGTAGCAGCAGTCTTTATGACACTGGCGACAAGAGTTGGTCCAGGCCGAAGGATTTCCACTTGGAACCGATGTACATCGATGTGCTTGAGAGATCCACTCCCAGAAAGTCTTCTCGCAAGATGAAATGTCTCGTGACGTGGATGATAATTCTAACATTGATGTCACTAGCCTCTTTGGCGTTCACAGCATTTATCTTTTACACTGCTAGTTTTAGTAACGGTAAGAGATTTTTATGTTTAGAAGTAAGGATATAAAATATTGAAATACAAGCCATGAAATACTACAGAGAACTCAAGATATATCTACAAATCCTTAACAATGAGCTGATTCTTTTCAGAGAAAACAATACTTCCATTTTAATGTTGCATACGTATCACCCATTAAGACTATAAAGCAACTTCTGCTTGTCCACTTTTCAACAAAACGTACTTCGTTTTCATCAGTATTGCAATATCATTTACTACAGCTTATTCCTTTATTTCCTACGTTAAATTTTTTTAACTCGCTTTAGGGGGCCGGCTTTGAAACAGCAATATTTTGAAAAACGAGATGGAAATGTAAATCCAGTTTTTCTGGATCAAGATTAAGCTGGTAAGTCCGGCACGTGATTAGTCACGCAGTAAAGAATTTGGCTACATGATTCGATCTCAAAGCGAAACATTTCCCGAACAATCTTTCTCTTCAAAAGGGAGACTGAAATCCAACAATTTTTATTGTCTTTTTACAGCAGTCTCTCTTTTTTTTTAATCTTGCTAGCAGAAGAATGAAATCAAATTCAGAGGCTGTATTTGTTTTCCCAGGCTGTGACACGGATGCAGTTATTTTTGCTGTAGTATGTCTAATACAGCGGGAGATATCATGTTAAGAAAAAAAAACCAAAAGACCAAAAAAACAAAACAAAAGAGCAAAATAAAACAAAACAAGACAAAACAAAGCGAAACAACAACAACAGTTTCGTACGGAGCATCGCCAAAATATCCTCACACTAAAAAGTATTAAACAAACTATCGACAAGGAAGATATTAAAAGCTACACGCACGTTCCCATCCGGAGAGAGTGCGACAAGCCAAGCGAACTCCGTCCCTATCTTCTTACATGGTTCTTTTATTAACACAGATTCATCTTTTCCTTTTAGAGCCGTAACCTTAAAATACTGTTACCGACTGTCTAGGTTTTTTTTCACAGACGTTATTTTATTTTACATTCATATCACATTCATGCGGCAAAAACAAAAGAAGCTTACAATTAAGAAGCACGAAGTCATGTGACAACGCTAGGTACAAACTGGTAATATGACCATCAAAAGCTCATAAGATAACACTAAGGTTTACATGTATTAATAGAAGTCAAGTATACGATTGTTATTGAAAAGCAACAGATTGAATTTGGCCATTTCGTTCAGTTCGGCTTTGTATCTCCTTATAATAGGAGTTGTTCTTTGTAATTTTTCTTTTGTCTTTTTCGTGATCGGTTGTTTCTAATACAAGGTTATTGCATTCTTTTAACACACAGACGATAAGATCAGATACATTACAAACCCGAAATTTAGGACTAAGACCCTCACCTTTTGAGGGCAAAGGAAATCTTACGGTGAAAATCGATGATACCGGCTTCTCAGCAACACCATGAGCTTGGCTCCTTCAATCATTTTACTCTCAGATAGTTTTACGTTCCACCGATTTTTTAATGGTTTGAAATCGAAGGCTGTTTATTCTATCGATCTCTCAACTGAAGAAAACACAAAGAGCGTCAACGCATCTTTGTCGTATTGAAAATTTACTGAAGATAGGATAATACTGGATTAAAATGATAAATCACGGATTTAGGTATCCGTTGGACCCTCTACAGGTAATTTATCAGGTTGGCTATCTTGAACTAAAAATGGTCTACATAACAAGAAAAATGTGACAGAAATCCCAATCGTGCAATAGCTCAGTTTCAACCATGTGAACTAATGTGCATTATTTTTTGGCTGTAAAATCAAAAAATTTCAAACAAATGCAATTTGACGAAGGAGAAGGAAGTGCTTTGAGAATGCTCAGTGTTGCTTCAAGGCGAATCACTGAAACTAAGTCGTGGCTTTTGCGCCGAAAATTATCCAATTTTAAATATTTTTCTTCTCCCATTCAGCCAACGATCGAACTGTTTGAAAGGCTTAGGCTCATTATGGTCATTTTATCATTTAATTGCGAAGGGAGAAAAGGGAACGCGCAGGTGGGAAATGAAACGAATTATTTCTTGTTTAGCACGCTGTAGGCATGGTGATATCCACGCTGACGTCAAATTACCGACGCCAATGGTCTCCTAGAGTACTGGGCTAACCTACTTCCATCCAATTTAATCACTAGCAAACAGAGGGTGCAACGGCCTGTACTCGGTACAACAATGTGTAGCAATATTTGATAATAAAGAATGACGTATAATTCATTTTAACCTCAACCTTTTCGGTACACATTACATTTTTAGCTGCTTATATTTATTCGGCATTAATAAGTTTTTTTTTTTGGTACAACTACTCAGCCGATAAGCATTAATTCCGCAAATAGAAAAGTGAAGAAATGCATGGTAAATGGAAAACGATAGGAGTTTTCCGGCCCAAAATCAGAATAAGTATCCATTATTTCCAACCGGTAATAGGTCATAGTAATGTACATGAAAAAGACTACAAATCGCATTCAAAGGCTACAAATCGCACTTGCCCTACGGGCTCATGCAATTTTGTTATCATTGAAAAATTTACTCGTGCTTATTACCACCAAATTGCAAGAGAAATCATAAATATCCAGCGGACCGAAAAATCAGTGCTTTTTTTTTTTTTTCAATAAGCCGGCCTATACTTTGGGAAAAACAAACTGTACCTCCATGGCGAAAACTCATTCTTGCTGGGGTAAGTTCATTCCTAGCGAGCGATTTATTACCAATGCTGCAAAATATTAGACTCCCCCACCCCCACCTTACTCCTTATTTTTTGCTGTCCCTCACCCCCTTGGTACAGATTTCTTTCGCATCCCAGCCTTCTGCTGCCATTAAAATCAAAGATGGCGGTCATGATTTTCGCTAAGAAAATACTGAGCACTCGCTCGCCAAATTACGCCTGCTCTACAGGCTACGTTCGGCAAGACTCAAATGTATTGTGCTGTTTTTAAAAACTTTTTGGTTTTCCAGTGAGATACCTTTCAGAATTTCACGAGCACAAACGGTACAGGCTTATTGGCATGCCATAGGTGAAAATGTCTTAGCGGGTAAATGGTCCTAAGTTGTGTCAAAGGCCTGTTGCAAGCTTTCCGCATGCGGCAAAGGTGTAGCGTGTTAATCGGCTCTTGGGCAAATTTAGAATGTGGCTCAACTAAAAATGTGTTTTTGTCCAACATAATATACTATCGTGAAACCATTAACGCCTTCAATTCGCCCCTTCTCCGTAAATGGTCTTAAGTTGTGTTGTAGGCTTGTTGTAAGCTTGTCGCATGCGGCAAAGCTAAGGTATAGCGTGTTAATCGACCCTTAGGCAATTTTTGAATGTGGTTCAATCAAAAATGTGTTTTTGTCCAACATAATTCACTATCGTGAAACCATTAACGCTTTTCATCCGCCTCTTCTCCGTTCCTCTGTTCCGTTGACTCGTTGCCGCATACACACAGTAAGGTCGACGACCATAAAAAATGTTTCATCCAGTCAATCAATCTAATATTTGTGCGTGTATTCTTATACGATTGCAGGTGGAACGTTTCTGGAGGAAGCGAAACCCTCAAGGAGCCCGGTAGAAAATGAGATCATTGACAAAATCAATCAGCTCTCCCAAAATGTGACGTTTCTACTAGAGAAACTGGTAAGAGAGGTGTCTTTTGTTGGTCAAAAACGCCCCTTGTGCGGGTGGATGTTTAGGATTTAGGGCAGAATTCATGCAGATCAGCTTAACGAATATATGAATATTGACTTTTTTCGGTAATCAGAAATAGAACTGTTCTATGTAGTTTGCAAAAGTATGTGATGGCAAAACATCAATAAACTGATAAACAATACAAAATATCGCATAAATAATCAAGAGAATATCATACATCATGAAAACAATAGATTGTGAGAACCGTATTAACAACAATGAACTACTCAACTCCTCACTGAAGTCGGGAACTCCTCTGGAAAGAAACTGAGCGATAAGTGCCTATTATAAATGCTTGAAATGTCTGCTTTTTGAAATCTTAGAGCAGTTATTACTTTCCCTTAATTAATCAACTTGATAGTTAATTTCCGGGTGATGCAGCTGTATATCATACTAAGATAACATAGGAATTTTATTTGGAACTTTACATAATAATCTGGGCTAGGTCGTTCAAAGTGGGGTTTAGTATAATTTTATATATAGCTAATCCAGAGTTAGTATGATTTCAGATCTGAAAGCTTTAAGAAAAAATTTACGATAATTCTTTTCGACTACAATTTGATGATTGGATGTTCTAAAACGAGTAGGGAACATTATCCGAAAAACGCTTTGAACGAAGGAATAAAGAAACCTGGATTAAAAGTTGGCCGTGCCTCATAACTGTCAAAAACGTTAAACTGCCGGGTGAAACCCTAAAAAAAATTAATAACAGCCTTCATTTTGGCGCGAAAATATGCCCGCGGACATTGCTTGTTTCGAGATGCGAACAGTTGATGGTCTATAATATAAATAGAAATGTACATTGCCCGTGCGATTTCAGGAAAACGTCAGCAAAATTCCAGGACCAAGAGGCGCACAAGGAAGGAACGGATCCGCCGGACCACAAGGTCCTCGTGGCTACAATGGCACCAATGGTAGCAATGGAGCACGTGGTGCACCCGGGTTACCTGGACTTCCAGGGAAACCGGGATTTAATGGAACTCGGGGTTTCAACGGAACAAGAGGTTCACGAGGCCTTCCGGGTGTTCCAGGTCCAAGAGGGATTGGAAACCTCAGCTCTTGTGTTCATGATTTTAAAGAGGAGAGTGTGACGCGTGGAAAATCCGCCCAAAATGACGTGCAAGTAAGGGACGTATTGGTGAGTAAATCTAAGGTAAATCTGAGGTCGAGTTTGAATGAAAAATCAAGTGTCCAACATTTTTAAACGAAATGAGGACCCATACCAGTAGAAACAATAATTTTTATTTTGATCAGACTCAATTTTTCAATTAAGAAATTGGTCAAAAAAATTTCAAGGGCAATATCGAAAATGTTTATTAATGAGCATTTGGGAATATTTATACTTCCCCCTCTACGCATTTCTGACACTCTCAATATCACCGCTGTTCTCGTCTCCTTGCGAAAACATTTGCTGGAAAAAAAAAAAAAAAAAAAAAAAAAAAAAAAACCACTGGGTCAAAAATGAGTTTAAAAAACTAAACTGAACAGAGTACTTCCCTTATGGCTCATGATTTATTCATTCATTCATCTATTCATTCATTCAGTCATATATTCATTAATCTCTATTTATTTATTTGCTAAATTATTACGATGACGTGGCGTTAGTGACACCGGTGACGACGATCAAGCCTTTTAGGGCGATCATGATGATGCTGTTAATGACGATGATTGCGCTTTTGATATCTAATTTATTGATTTAGTTGTGTGTGTGGTTTTTTTGTTTGTTTGTTTTGGTCTGTTTTGGTTTTTTATGGTTTTTGTTTTGTTTTGTGTTTTTTTAGGGCAAGAAGATTATCAGTGCTGTTTGCTCATCAAATGATGCCCTTAATTATGGTCTTTCCGTCAAAAACGTAACCGAAGGTCACGTTTATAAATGCATATGCAGTGGATCTCGGAACTCTACTGCGAAAAGCATGATATGCAGAATTGATTACTGGTTATGTGAGCTTTGATGTTTTACCATATGCATGATTATGACGCGATATTTCCTTCTGAAAATGTGCTTCAGCTAGATCAGCAATAATAGATTCAAGACTGTTCAGCTTCACAAGTCAAAAACAATATTCAAGACGTGAATTTTGCACAATGATGCTAGTTGGAAGAAGTACTTCTATTCTGAACGAAGCCCAAACCTAAAGGCAGACTAAGTGATCACCACTGTCATGAAATTAATAAGCAAATTTAAAGTGAAAACAACAAAACCTGCAAATTAACAAAAGATATCCGTTTGTGTAATCGATTATATTTTGTTGACTAAGAAATTATTTGCCCAACGCTAGGAGGATAAGACATTTCTCGACAAAATATCTGTAAATTTCACTTACTAAATAATATTGGCCCATTTCTTTCGCATCGAAAATCGCACGCGGACGTACACATTTCTTTATAAAAAAAACTGAAGTATTTCCCTTGGAAAGCTTTGTCTGAAGGACGTTTATGTCCAGTGCGTCCTAACTTCATCGGACGAAATTAAAGTCCCAAAACAAGAAAATCCTTAACAAAACTAATGGCCATTCAGCATGGATATGTTGTCACTTAATGGTAATAGGACCGAGTTGAGTCCAATTCGGTCTGTATTCATACGAGTGATTAAGTTGGACGACCGCGAAGCGGAAGTCCAATTTGTCACTCACGAGTATGCTTACAGACAGAATTGGACGACAAGAAGTCCTGTTACCAATTAATCATAACCGTTGCAATTTCCGAAAACAACAAATGCATTTAGGTCAAATATCTCAAGTAGAGACCGTCTAAAGTAAAAAAATTCCTCCATTTTGGAAACTCCTCGATATTTTTCTAGGAAGAGTGGTTGTTGCTATGGTTATTGCGATTAATTCTGTGATTGGTGGATTTAGCTCAGTGGACTTGGTATGATTGGCTACTTCGACTGTCCGATTACAGGTGTCTGATTACAGCCAATGTCCGCCTACGCTTTCCGATTACAGCCCTAGCTACAGAATGATAAGTGAAAAGTAGAGCAGCTAATGCACCAATCATTTTTGAAGAAAATTGTAATGGTTATGATTAAATTTAAAATCACATCTGTGTATATAAAAGTAATTTTTGTTAGAATCATAAATTGGGAAAAATTAGACTATTCACTCCCTTCGCGTACTATGGGGAAGGGAGGGAAGGGGGGGATAAAAAAATGGCCGCTGTTACAGCAGGTTAATAATTGTATCTGAAACAAATTTGTACGACTTACACCCGTTAAAATCCAATGCAACTGAATTAGTGAATGAATGTGCTTTTCTGCTTTGTAAATTTACATGCCAGGTTGCTTTCTGTAATTAGATCTTTTGATTCGGTCGACTATAGACTGATTAGGCTATACGGTAAACCAAGAGAATGTATTCTTTTGTGTATTCAACATCACGTCTAAAAAATATCTTTGGGCGCCTATTATTGAATAAGCAACTGCATTCTAAGCTATGTGTCTAGATTTTTACGTCAATTTGAGCTCTGTAATCATCATAATCAGTATTTGAAAATTTCTCATCTCAATTCGTTAAAAAATATCTAGGGTTTAGGATTTTTTTCATAAAATCATTACATGATTCTTCTCTAGGGTACTATAAAAATAAATGTAAATAAAGAAAATATTTTTTTTAGACATTTTTCAAACGTTTAATTGAAGTTGTATATACGCTGTACGTAACTATGATCATGCGTTTTATCAAATGTAAATATTAATTTTTTAAAAAGTAATTATTAAAAGATAAAGTATCATTTGACTCTAATCGCGCTTATTGTATTAAGAGAGTGTCTCTGTAAGAGCGGTCCGGTCGATTTTGCTTCAGACGCAGATTTCGCTCATTTCTTGTGTGTTGTAAGACATACATGTACCTATACTAAAACCACAA